AGGAGAAAGACTGCTTTCCTTATTATATTTTGGGTTTGCTTCCTAGGTACCCAGAGAACCTTAGATAAGGTTGTGAGAGATAAGCCGTTGGTGCCAGAGATGGGAAGCAGTAGGAGGCGACAAGGAGTCTCCTTCCCAGACTGTCTGGTTCAGTCAGCTCATTGCCTCCTGAGGTGAGGGCCTCAGTGTTCCCATCCACAGATGATAGTAGCCTGAGAGGCCTTTGTTGCAGAAAGACTAATGAAGAACTCAAGGCATTTGTCAACTTTGGTCTTTGTTTCTGAGACAAAACACAAAGGAATCTCTATAATCTCAAGTGCAGTTTTCATCTAAGTTTCCTCCTAATCACATTCCAAAATCTGCCTTCCTATAGATGTACTTACTCCTAGCATCTATTTAGACAAGTCACACCTCTGACTGAATGGGCTAGGGAAAGAAGCGTTTCATAGATTCCTTAATAAGATTCAGAGATTTACACATCTGCAGTGGCTAGGAGAAAATTAACTAAATTTGACTCTGGTTTCATACTCTATTTTTTTTTTTAGAGAAGGAGAGGGAGAATCTTAAACAGTCTCCACACTGGGCATGGAGCCTGACGCAGGAGGGTTCAATCCCACGACCCTGAGATCATGACCTGAGCCAAAACGAAGAGTCAGACACTTAACCAACTGAGCCACCTAGGTGCCCCTGGTTTCATACTCTTGAAGTATAATTCTTAGTTTCTTGCTTTATTTCTCTTTTCCTTTTCATTTTTTTAAAGATTTATTTATTTGAGAGAGAAAGAGAATGAGTGGGGGGTGGACAGGCAGAAGGAGAGGGAAAAGCAGGAGTCTGAAGCGGGACCCAATCCCAGGACCCCAGGATCATGACCTGAGCCAAAGGCAGATGCTTAACCAACTGAGCCACCCAAGGTGCCCCTCCCTTTTCTATTTTTAAAGATAGTTCTCACCTCCTACAAATAATCATCCACCTATTCTAAGAGGTAGAGATTGAGTGTTCTCATAACCAGCCATAAGTCAGTGACAGCCTTTTACTCTTGTTGTAAATAGAAATATAAATTCTGTCCTGCATGTACTTCATAGGCTGCCTCTCCAGCATTTTCCTCCACAGCCAAGGAATGTGCAAGGCATCTGAGTCAGCAGTCAGCTGCCACGGGACGAAACATGCAGGATATTGTCCACTGGCAGAAATTGCACCAGTGCCCTGGAAACCTGGCATCATCTCCTCTTCCTCTTCCCTCCTCAGCCTCCTCACTTCCCTTTTCCCTTCCTTCCACACCTTGGCTTTTCAGTCCCCAGGATTTCTGGCACCTTCCGGCCAGGTTTCCTGGTCTCTAGGTTCCTGTAATTATGAATACGGAATTTTCCCAGGATACTAGCATGTTTGGCACACAGGGACAGTCCCGGAGAGGCCAGGAGGAGCAGGATCTGAGTTGACCTTCAGGAATGAGAGAAATGAGGGCAATAACAGGAACGGCCCTTCTGCAGTTCTCCCCAGCTGCTCTCAGAATGAATCGGAATGCCAGATTCCCCTTGCTAAATGACACAGCCCCGGTCCAGCAGAGTTACAGAGTAATGCTGTAGCACTTGAGAGTGTCTTCCTGCTGTGGTCATTTGACTTGCAAAGTAGGAAAAGTGAGGCAGCCCAGGGGAATTAATCCTGTGTACTCTTACCTTGGGTGCTTGTCACATTGTTCCAGGAGCCAACTTACCTCTATTTATCTGTTCTCATTAGTGACCTACAGGTCACTTCACCTAAGAAATCCCTTAGAGTGGGCATTTAATACTTGACCACTGCTTGGAAGCAGACTCTCTGCAACTGTCTGGGAGCTGTGGCTGAAACCTGAAAGTCAGCAGAAGGATTGGGGGCCAGTTATTAATGAAGGTGTTCATCTGTGGTGGGGGTTGATTTGGAAATTCTCTGTGCTGGTTAGTAGCTCTGTGGAAGTGAATATTTCAAACAGAGTGGGCTACAGCCAGCCAAGGGGGTGTTAGCTTACAAAGCAGAATTTTTCTTTGAAAATAAATGCCCAAAACACTTCAGGGAGGTGTAAGCATAAGATAGGCATTGTGATGGGGAAAGGCTTTTTAGAAATAATGTTGCAGGATTTTTTTTTAAGATTTTATTTATTTGAGTGAGAGCGAGAGAGAGCACACACATGCATGCAAGCTGGGGGAGGGGCAGCAGGAGAGGGAGAGAATCTCAAGCGGACTCCACACTCAGCGCGGAGCCCAGCTCGGGGCTTGATCTCAAGACCCTGGGACCACGACCCAAGCCAAAACCAAGAGTCAGATGCTTAACCAACTGAGCTACCCGGGTGCCCTAAAGTTGCAGGATTTTTAATGTGTTGGTTTCAGCAAGAACATCCTGGTACTGAGTGCTCCAAATCTTGGCAAGGAGTGGAAGGTGACTGCAGTTCAGGAACAAAGAGAAATCATTTTCTTCTTTGACAAGAGGCAGAGAGATCAGACCAGGTGTTTTCAAAGCTTTCCAAACATTATGACCCTGGTGGAGTCAAAGTCGACTATGAACACAGGTCGGGCATGCAGGGTCAGGATTGCAAAATGCTGTCTGTTTGCCAAAAAAGCAAATAAAGCCACAGAAACCTACACAAGGAAGGCAAGAGGCAATCACTCTGGGACCTTTTTTCTAGTCATTGGTTGTTACCTGTCACCCTTCCGCCTTTGGATAAACACATCTGCTTTTTCTGCCCCTATAAGACATCTTTTCATTATGTACCATTTCTAAGATAAGCCTTGGCGTATAAGAAAAAGAGTGGGCTCTTTTTAGGAACTTTAAAATATTTCTTTTGCTGTGTATTGTTTCCTAGAATAAACTTTATTGAGGGGGAACTGGAGGTTAGTTCCAGTTAATTCCATTTCTTGATGGACTCTTGGCCACGTGGCTACTGAGACAAGCTGTGTTTTTTAGCAGTGTAGTTTTTATATTCAGAGCCAGGAGATTGTTGAGTAAGTATATATCTGAGATGAGAAGCCTAGTCAGTGTGTTCCGGGTGAAGAGTTACCGTCTTCGACTCGGCCTCCACAGTATATGAAGAGTGCCAGGTCTGCTGACATTAAGGGAAAATGTCAGTCCTTTGTGTATAGCTATTACTTTCTCCCACGAAGCTTAAGACAGGTCTCCTGTTGATTTGGTTTAGCCCTTATAATATGGTGAGGTGTAGAGCGATGCAGGATGTTACTTCTACTTCACAAAGGGGGATTCTGTTGCAGACGCTTACCCAGTGTAAGAGCCTAGGACAGAACATGGTCCCTTCCGTGTCCAGAGCTTGGTGCCTTCTTCTGACAATTAATTTCATCAGCACATACAGTTTGGTGGCTCCCAGTACTCTTGGATTGCTTTACTAGTGAGTCACTTCTTACTTCTGTACCCCTCCTGACCACAGTGAATCAACACCCCCCTTCCTCTGTCTCCCCCATCTCCAAGAGTGAGTCCTCTTTAAAGCAAAGTTTCAGTGCAGTCCTGTTTGTCACACTAGTAGTGTGACCATGAGGATTTTCTCAGCACTAAACTTGGAGAACTTCAGATTTGGAAGAGGAGTTTAGAGACCATCCAGTGTAACCGCCTTGTCTTACACAAGGGAAAATCGAGACCTGGTGAGGCAAAGTGACTTGTCCAGGGTCATGCAACCAGTATCTGGCACAGGGGGTTCAGAGCCATGTTAGTGCTCATCTCCTTGCTCTGACCTGCTTCTCTATTCTTACTATGTTTTAGTTTTCACTCTTGGCCCTTTGTCTCCTGCCTCCCAATAATAGTTCTAGGTAGTGATGATACATGAAACGTGGTACAAAAATGATGAAACAGACCTAAGGGAGTGAGTGCATTAAAGGAGCATGTAAGGTGCCTTCTCCCATCTTAAAGCTTCTATCCACATAGGATGGTGGATATGTAGATGCTTTTAATAAGTGGAAGGTGTAGACGTTATCATCACTGTCAAATATGTTTGTGGGCAAAATGAAATGGCTATAAAATCTTCCCACCCTGACATGTACCACATGCAGGGGCAGGACTGTTTCAGTCCTTTAAAACCCTCCTGACTTCGCCACTTCTGAACTTTGTGCTTCTTAGACTGCTGTGACACTGCCCTTCGGTTCTCTTCAGACCTCTCTCCACTGTGCCTCACAATCTTTTTAGAGAGCTCTTCTTTCTCTGCCAGTTCCTTACAAGTTGATGAGTCCCAGATATCATCCAGGGCCCATGGCTCTCTCTTCCCATGGGCTCTCCTTTTGTGATTGTACCACTTTTGAAGGTTCAGCTACCACCTGTATGCTAATGACTCCCAAATCTGGGCCTGGGTCCCCGGCTACTCCCCTAAGCTTCAAATACATACCTGACTGCCTAGCAAGTGCCTCTGTTAAGGCAGCTCAGACGTAACAAGCCAAAAGGGAACTCACTACCCTCCCCTTACAAATGAGTTCCTCTATTTTTAATTCATTGGCCTGGTGTCATTATTTGCTCAGTGGCCTAAGCTGGAAACCTGGGCATCATTCTTGAGTCTTTCATCTGTAAAAGTCACTCACTCACAAGCCTTCCTATTTTATTTCTTTTCCTACCTTCTATACTTCTTCCCTGCCTGGCTAACACTGACTTATCCTGAAAGACTCAGCTGTCACCTTTCAGAGGTTTATCTTCAGCGAGGACCCATTATGATTAGGTACTCATTGTCTACGTTCCCAAGTCCCTTGTGCCCCTCTCTCTCTAATGACACTTAGCAAAGTACCTTTAACATTCTGTTTATGAGTCTGTCTCACCCACTGAACCGTAAGATCCTTGAAAGCAAACACTGTCTTGCTCATCTTTCCATCCCCAGTGTCATCATAGATAGCACCTGGAGTACAGAAGGTATAGGATATACATTTGTTGAATGAACAGCTATGACACTTCAGAACTCCATTTGAAAAGGAGTTATGTCTCCTAGAAAATGTTTGTAGGTAGAAATTTGGATTTGCTAACCATTCCTTTTTCTTTATTTTTGTTAGATTAATGTGACAGAATCAGGTGGATCAGCAGCCATCCCACTGCCCCTTTGTTGGGGGCTGCTGAGAGCGGGGAAGCATGGAGGACAGCAAGAACGAGACAATGAATCGCGCTCATGTCCTCTTCGACCGGTTTGTGCAGGCCACCACCTGCAAGGGGACCCTCAAGGCCTTCCAAGAACTCTGTGACCACCTAGAACTGAAGCCTAAGGACTACCGCTCCTTTTATCACAAGCTCAAGTCCAAGCTTAACTACTGGAAAGCCAAAGCGCTGTGGGCCAAGTTGGACAAGCGGGGTAGCCACAAAGACTACAAAAAGGGAAGAGCATGTGCTAACACCAGGGTAAGGGTTTGGCTTCTCCTGGGCCTTGGGGTCACTCACCTAAGGATTTAACCACAAAAGAAAAGATTGTGAGGAGAGAGAGGCCAAAGAAGGGGATCGAGTAGAGGTAGACTGGGTGAGAACTAGGCAGAGTCTAGCAGAGACTTAGTACACAAAGTCAAACTCTGTGGATCCATTACCAGTGTTCAGTTGACTGTTCCGTGTTCCAGACCCTGTTCTTATTTCATGTATTCATATATTGACCAGGGTTTCAGCTATTGAAGTACAACCCTGAAGTCAAATGGTATAGGAACTTTTTTTTCCCCCTGAGGGCTCTGTTTTGAATTTCACACTGTTAAGAGGATGCAGGTCGCTTAGCAAAGAAGCCATGCCCTGTTAGCATCCTGTCTGAACATGGCTTCATGATGCCTGGCATGTCATCTTTATAAAGTCATCATTCCATACTCAGTGACTACTAAGGTCTAGATAGTATTTGCTAACTTGGGGATCTGCCACTTCCGACCTCTTTTCATCCATATTCCAAAGGTTCGTTTTGATAAGCAAGGGCCTTGTGAACCAAAATATTTCTTTTGCTTTCTTCACAATCTAGGGAAATAGAGTTTTCATGAAACAGGTGAGATAATCAGTCACCTGTGCAGGGGTAGGTAAAGGGAGGTGGAGAAGGAACAATATATTTCCTGCTTTCCTCCTTATGTGAGAACACCTTCTGGAAGAAGTTTGGAGAAAGCTAGCAGGGAAATGAAGCTGCAAATGACTTCATGACTAGATTGTTAATGTCCTTTCACGAGCTTTAATTTGCTCTGTGTGGAGACCTAGAGACCCTCCCCCAGCGGATTTGCCTCCAGGTAGATACTCATCAGCAAAATTCAAGAAATTCAGAGGCATGACTTTTATGAGTGAGTTGTGGTGTTTTATTAAGAATAATACAAATTAGTTAAGTGTCCATTCTCACCTTGAGTGCTTCTCTAGAATGTGGGTCTTTAAGATCATTTCCCTGGACTTTCAGTCCAAAGATGGTGATTTTAGAACTCTTTTCAGCACATAAAACTTTGGCTCTTGAAAGTTGCCTTCTTGGAATCCTTGAGTGGTAGATTCATTTTTAGGACTCTTAATATTGTCTGAACTATGTATTTAATAATCTGTCTCCTTGGACAGAAATCTGCTTGACTTAGAAACATTTCAAAAGGTCCTCTCCTGTTAATAAAAGATGACATGTGATTTTCAAATAGTTTGTTGAAATGAAGACCACTTCAGTATATTGCAGATCTAACATGTGCTGGAATAGCAGTTTATTTTTGTGCAGCACTAACAGTTAAGAGTCTCCTCTATCCATAACAATCACCAGCTTTTCTCTCAAGCCATTGCAGATGCTCTCCTGTGACCCAGATGGGTCTGAAGATTTCTTAGGAGAATAGCCTTACTTGGGGGCTTTAGGGAATGATGGTTATGAGATCATGAAACTGTTACAGAAATGTGAGCTTTCCTAAGAGGTGCTACCTTTGCCCTGAAAGTGGCTATGTTTTTCAGTGTCTCATCATTGGAGCTGGCCCCTGTGGTCTCCGTACAGCCATTGACTTATCCTTATTGGGAGCTAAGGTGGTCGTTATTGAGAAACGAGATGCCTTCTCCCGCAACAATGTCTTGCATCTCTGGCCATTCACCATACATGATCTGCGAGGTCTGGGTGCCAAGAAGTTCTATGGCAAGTTCTGTGCTGGAGCTATTGACCATATCAGTAAGTAAAACCAGTCCTCCTGCAAGATCCCACCCCGCCCTCTACCCACTTGTTCAGTAGAAAGAGGCAGATTATTTGAGGAATTCATACTCAACAGCCCAATTTGTTCTCATATCATTAATGTCTAATGTGCTTGGAGTCAAAATACCTGTGATGAGGTGGTCTATAACCTAGGATTCTTAATTGCAAGTTAACTCCTATGACATGAGTTTAACTTAAGGATTTCTAAAGTTAGGTCTTGAACTCTTCCTGAGCACTTGCAGTGGGTGGGATGGGCATTGGGGCCAGGCTAGGAAACTACCAATTTGAGCCTTGACCCTCTGGTGGTTCTTAAGTCCAGTGGAAGAAGCACAAAGCATGAGGCTCTCTCTAATGTGATATGATAGATACTCTACTAATATAAGAACAAAATGCTATGGGGACAGGACTGGGGAACAGTTTTAGAAGCAGCCTCCTAGTTTGGTCACCAATGGCAAGTCAGTAGTGAGATTCATTTGGTTAGGTGATTCTCATGAGGTCGACAGCTTGGATAACTCTTGGCTGTATTTTTGTCATCTCCAAGCTCAGCTTGGGCCTGTGCTTTTCTGAGATCCTATGGAGTAAATACAAGTCAACGCAGACAGTGATTTTCTTTCCATGACTGTTAAGTGGCCTATCTGAAGAGTGAATCAGAACAGACAATGTCTACATTATGAAGTTCCAGTCTTGTTTATTGATCATCGTTAATGATTCCAGGAGAGTCTTATCAAGGAACTTTTGTTCTGAGCTCCTCCAGATGTGTCCTGCAAATACATCAAACTGCTGAACTGTTTGCTCTTCGAAGTGGTTATGCCAGTTTATCAAACACTGGCCAACAGCTGCCACATTCCTTTGGTAGAGGAAGCGCTCTGCCCATCTGTTGGGCTATAATATATAAAGCATCTTGGAATCCAGTTGTCTGCAAATATTAAATGTGTGCTAGAATGGGATTTAATGAGGCTTTAGGAGTGTAGCTCAGAAGGGTGGTGGTTTTGATAAGCTGGGGGAAAGAACCGAGATGACTTAGATGAGGATTTGCACGTACCAGATTAGTCAGAGGCTGCAGGTGAGATTGGTCTTAAGAGAGGACCAAGGGTCATTTGATTTGTCTGGATTTGTCTTCCTTATGTGGGATTTGTCTTGGAACTGAGAGGGTCCTACATTAGGGACTAGATTTTTATCTCAGTAGGCCTGGGGCTGCTACTGTGTCTGACACTTGGTGGTCACTCATTGGACATAGAATAAATAAATAAATCTCACTGTGGTAATGATCAAGATTTTCACTCATTTTTGAGCCTCAGTTTCTGCACCTGTAGATCAGTGGTGGGAGGGGGAACAGTAAGAGACTAAGATTGGATTAAGGTTTCCCCTTCTCACTTTATGAGTGTGTGAAGATCAGGGAGGTAATAGGATGAAAGGGAGATGCTGTGGAATCTCAGGAAGTAGTGCAGCCCCTTTGTATCAAACTGGAAAACCCACCTGAGGGTGCACACATTTTGCCTTCTCTGGTAAGTCCCATGTCCCGCTGGGATTGTAGATTCTGCCAGATGACCGTGGCTCTGTCTGAATCGGGAAGATGGAAAAGAGAGTCTCCTGGTGGCCACAATCTGTGTTGTCTCAGAGCTTTTGGTTGTTTTGAATACCCAACCCAAGAGGTGGGAGTGGCCTTGCATGTCTTTCTAGAACATCTCTTGCACTGAATTGTATTTGCCCTTAAAAAAGAAAGAAAGAAGCTATAGAGCATGGCTTGGAAAATGTCTCCAGCTATAGGAGGCTTTGAGAATCTGGATGAACTGTGTAGGTGGCCAGGTGAGAACCTGAGCAGTAATTGCTGACTAGTACTCTCTTTTCAAGTGTGCCCTCACTAGTATCATCTTTTTGTTCCCCCAGGTATCCGTCAGCTTCAACTAATACTTTTGAAAGTAGCCCTGATCCTAGGCATTGAGATCCATGTCAATGTGGAATTCCAAGGTCTTGTACAGCCTCCTGAGGACCAAGAAAATGAACGTGAGTTGGATTGGACAAATGAAAGAGGGATAAAAGGGCATGGAGTGTGTGAGAAAAGATGAGATCAAGGGAGAAAAGTACAAGAATCTGTGAGTTGTTTTCAGAACTAGTGAAAGAGGTTTCTTCAGTTGTATATAGCCTATACCTTTCAAGGAACTTTTGACTTAATGAGGAGGCTTTGACATAGTATTAGATGTCGTAAACACTTGTATTCATTATAGCAAATCATGTCCTGGGGATCATTCTTTTGTGAGCCTTCTCCAAGGCTTCTTTATTTCCTGTGTTTTGTACCCCATGCTTTTATTCCTAGTGTTTTCAGTTTTCAAAACCTAGGGTTTTGTGCAGTTTGTATCTAGAGGTGTCTTAGGTGTATGAATATAGTCTGGGTGATGACCTTCATTTTGACTTTGGTCCACAGGGATAGGTTGGCGGGCACTGGTCCACCCCAAAACCCATCCTGTGTCAGAATATGAATTTGAAGTGATCATCGGAGGGGATGGCCGTAGGAACACCTTGGAAGGTATTGGTCAATGCTGCTTTGCCTGGTTCATTGCTATCTATTCTAACTGAATGACAGGCCCAGCCTTCCACTAGCCAACTGGTACTTGGGTTACTTCTTATAGGGCACTCTTTTTTTTTTTTGACTTTTTTTTAAATTTTTATTGTTATGTTAATCACCATATATTACATAATTTGTTTTGGTGTACTGTTCCATGATTCATTGTTTGTGCATAACACCCAGTGCTCCACGCAGAATGTGCCCTCTTTAATACCCATCACCAGGCTAACCCACCCCCCTACCCTCCTCCCCTCCAGAAACCTCAGTTTGTTTTTCAGAGTCCATCATCTCTCCTGGTTCGTCTCCCCTTATAGGGCACTCTTGTTAAGGCACTAGGAGGTAATTAATTGGTTGACACTGCAGGATTATATCTAAGTTTAGTAAGCTGGTGGCTTCCTTTCCTCTCTCTCTTTTTCTTTCTTTCTTTCTTTCTTTCTTTCTTTCTTTCTTTCTTTCTTTTCTTTCTTTTCTTTCTTTTCTTTCTTTTCTTTCTTCCTTCCTTCCTTCCTTCCTTCCTTCCTTCCTTCCTTCCTTCCTTCCTTCCTTCCTTCCTTTTCTTCCTTCCTTCCTTCCTTTCTTTCTTTTTCTTTCTTTCCTTTCTATGAACTCCCTTGCACTGAGTAGTATTCTGGTCAATTAGATTTCAGATTGTTAGTATGTGGGAGACTTTGACTTCTTTCCTGAAATTCATATATTTTTGGGCAGGTAAACACCTTATTTTCAGATAAGAATTGCCCTAAAATTTTCCCATTGATTCCCATCCTGCATGTTCCCTAATATCTTCAACAACAGCCCTTCATGTTTGAAGTGATCTTCCTTCTTCTCTAGCGAGCTGTGGTCACCTCTGAAAATTTCTTTCCTTCCAGGATTTCGCCGGAAAGAATTTCGTGGCAAGCTGGCCATTGCCATTACAGCAAATTTTATTAACCGAAATACAACAGCAGAAGCCAAAGTGGAAGAGATCAGTGGTGTGGCTTTTATATTCAACCAAAAATTTTTCCAGGAACTGAGGGAAGCCACAGGTTGGTGTAGATGCCTCCAAAGCAATAAGGATAGAAATTTAAATAACTACTTGTGATTTTTCTCTCAGAGGTTTTGGTAGGGTGGGTGATCATTGGCATTATTACTGTTGTTTGCCCCACTGCTCTTTCTATAGTGCTTTCCTTATTACTGTCTCCTCCTCTAGCATTCTTTATCCTCTTTACAGTGACAGGGCTGCTCTGGGCTTGGTTTTTGTTTGTTTGTTTGTTTTTAAGGTTTCATTCTGCCTTTTAGCAACTCTTCTCCAACCCTTTCCCCTATTCTATGGCTCTAAGTGATGGTGCTCAATGCAGTAAGCTACTGATTGGTAGGTTCTCTGGTTCTCTAGAACCTAACTTTAGATACTGAGTATACAGTCTCCTGGTGTTCCAGTTTGGACATGAAGTAAACCATGTGCTAGATCGGAATGAGATTGTTGTATGATAGCTTTTGAATAAATTAACTTATTTTGCTACCACAAAAATGTGCATCAGATTTCATTTCTCTGTTTTCTAGAACATGATTGCTTTCTATTACGTCTGTTTTTTAGATTATTGAATTAAAAAATCAGTAGTTCACGCTCTGCTTCTAGGCATCTAGTTATCTCTCCTGTTAAGAGCAGAGGTGATTCTCCCAGTTGCCTTGATGACTGTCAATGACATTTAACTTGAGAACTAACCCTGACCTCTTACTAGAAGTTAACCTTTCTTTTTCTTCCAGTCCTTCTATTTCTGCTTACTATTGATCATGGTTTTTAGGATAACTTAGGGTATCAAGTGAATTATAGAGCAGTGCAGGTATAAACACAGCTCCCCCTCTTCTTATGAACTGAATATGCAGGAAGTAAGAATCTGGGCTCAGACATCTCTTTATTTTCACTTTCTCTGCCCAGAGTGTTACAGCCCTGGTCTCTGAGGACCCATGTAAACTTTCTGGCTGCCCTAACGTACCTTCATTTCAGCAAGCCCCCATGTGACAGATTTGTTTCCTGGTTGTAGGTATTGACTTGGAGAATATTGTCTACTACAAAGACGACACACACTATTTTGTTATGACAGCCAAAAAGCAGAGTTTGCTAGACAAAGGGGTGATACTGCACGTGAGTAATGGATTTCTTTCAAACCTCTTTTTATGTTGTACTAGTTAATGTGACCACTAAGAGAAAGAATTTTATTGTCTGATGAGTTTTTCCTGCAAGGGAATGAAAATGAGCACCCAACTCATCTCCTAGAAACATGTACTCCTCTAATGTTTTTTTAGTTTAACTTCTAAAAAATCTTTTGTTATGGAAAATTTCAGATGTAAACAAAAGTAGAGAGAATCATATAGTGAACCCCCTTGTGCCCATTATCTTGTTTTAACAATTATCAACACGTGGCCAATATTATTTCAGTAGTACCTCACCCACTCCCCAGTCCTGCCATTGGATTGTTCTAAAACAAATCTCAGATAACAGTTATCGCAGATACTCAGTTTAATTTTAGGCGATTTGGTTTGTCGTTCTAGCTAATTCCACAAATGACTGATTAGTAGTTGGTTAATAGGTCGTCTTTTGGGAGAGGGTGGTAGGGGGAAGGGAGTTTGACCTGGAAGCCTGAGAATGGTTCTGGTTTTACTGCAGATATGTCTATCAGAAGTCTAGGGAACACTGGTTGGATCAGGGTATATTTAGACCTCTTCGTAAACAATGATGAGAGGTCTGGCTCAGCCTTTTTTCCAGGTGGATAATTGTATGACATTCCCTGAGACGAACAGAATATGAAATCAGAGAACCACAGGATAGGTGGTTCTTTAAAGAGAGTCTCTTAAGTCTTATTTGGTGTTCAGTCTGAATCAGAATTACTATCCCCATGTGATGAGCTGGAGAGAAGAGGCACCAGATGTGCTGATTCAGGCCTGTACAGTTCTTACCACAGACTCGTGGCTGAATTTCAGGGTGCCTTTGTCTCTGCAGGACTGAGTGATACTGTTGCTGTATCTGAGAGCAGTGTTGGGGGCAAGCCAGTGAGCACGTGCCTGCCGCAGAGCCTCTTCCCAGTCGCGGACCTCGGACCTCATAACTGTTTCTCAGCCTTGAGCTCCTTTATGTTATATAAGGAAACAGGACAGAGCAGTTTGTACAGCCCATCCTGCCAAAAACATAAGCAAGATGTACTTGTTTGGATGCTTTATCAATAAGAAATAGCCAGTGAACCCGGTGGTATACTTTGGGACTAAGTTAAGACAAATCTACCATCTTAGGCAGAACAGTGGTTATCAGTTGAAACTTGTTTTATTGTGCTTCACAGTTACTGCATTTATTTGTTTACTTATTTATTTATTTATTTTACAAAATTGAGGGTTTGTGGCAACCTGAACAAGTCTGTCAGTGCCATTTTTCCAACAGCATTTGCTCATTTCATGTTTCTGTGTCATAGTTTGGTAATTCTTGGCAATATTTCAAACATTTTCATTATTGTATTTGTTATGGTGATCTGTGATCAATGATTATAACTCGCTGAAAACTCCAATAATGGTTAGCATTTTTTAGCAATAAAGTATTTTTTAGTCCAGGTAGCTTCATTGTTTTTTCAGACATAATGCTATTGCACACTTAATAGACTATGGCGTAGTGTAAACATAACATATATACTGGGAAATCAAAAAAATTCATGTGACTGGCTATATTGCGGTGGTCTGCAACTGCAGTATCTCCAAGGCGTGGCTGTATGTAGGAGCAATCTAGAATGCCAAGACCTGATTTACTTTTGCTTTTTATTTATTTTTTTAGAGGGCAGGGGCCACGTTTCTGTGTGTGCTGCTAAATACTAAACCGGTTGTGGTCACTTACTTGAACAAACACGGTCTCAAGGACCAACTTGAGTATTTGTGTTTTGACCATTAACTTCTTGTAGTGGTAGCTGGAAGTACCATCAGAGTGACACTTGGAAACAAACCTTAGGCCCCACTTTAGGAGAATAAAGATTTGGCTCAGTTAGCCAGGAATCTCCAAAACAGCAAAGTTTTTCAGTCCTTTATGTGGAAAGCTGTTTTTCCTCTCATCTTTGTTTTTCTTTGTTGGTGGGTTTCTGTGGAGCCTTTCAGAATCTTATGTATTATTTTGAAAACCTCTGTTCCATTTTCAGTATATTTCTTCCCAGCCCCCTGGACTGCCATTGCTCCCACCTCACATCTTTTTGGCACTGGAGCTTTGGGGTGTTTCCTTTGGGTTTGATGAATTACACAATGCTGAGTATTTTGTGTGGTCCCATTTGCCAGAAGCTATTTGCTACCCAGAAGATAATGATCGCCAATATAACATAAATTATAAAATGCTTCTTCAGCTTAGAAAGTACCATCACATAAATTATTTTATTTGGTATTCAGAACAACTCCATGAGCTGGATTAGGCAAGATTAAAGAAGTATGACATGCTCCAAGTAAATGGAAACACCAGGCAGCAAAACCTGTGCTCTTTTAAAAACAGCCTCCCCCATGGGGCACCTGGGTGGCTCAGTCGGTTGAGCATCTGACTCTTGATTTTGGCTCAGGTCATGATCTCAGGGTTGTGGGGTCATTGGGCTCCATGCTCAGCAGGGAGTCTGTCTGGGATTCTCTTTCCCTCTCCTGTCTCCCTGCCCCCGTGCTCGCCCTCTCTCTCAAATAAATAAATATATTTTTTTTCTTTTTTTAATTTAAAGAAGGGGCACCTGGGTGGCTCAGTCAGTTAAGCATCTGCCTTCGGCTCAGGTCATGATCTCAGGGTTCTGGGATCCAGCCCTGCATCAGGCTCTGTACTCAGTGAGTGGAGAGCCTGCTTCTCCTTCTCCCTCTGCACCATCCCCTTCATGTGCTCTCTCTCTCTCAAATAAATAAATAATCTTTTTAAAAAGAAATAATTTTTAAAAAGAAACCGCCTCCCCCTTTTCTCTTTGGGTAGAAGACTTATTTTGGAAGATGAAATCACTTTAGGAAGAAGGGAAAGGCTGTGAAACTGGCTTACATCTGACATGTGTAGTGTGGCTCTAACAGGGCTTTTCCCTCGACCCTCTTCTCTCTCTGGAGACAGGACTATGCCGACACAGAGCTCTTGCTTTCCCGGGAGAATGTGGACCGAGAGGCTCTGCTGAACTATGCCAGGGAGGCGGCAGACTTCTCCACTCAGCAGCAGCTGCCATCTCTGGATTTTGCCATCAATCACTATGGGCAGCCTGATGTGGCCATGTTCGACTTCACTTGTATGTACGCCTCCGAGAATGCTGCCTTGGTGCGAGAGCAGAATGGACACCAGTTGTTAGTGGCCCTGGTTGGGGACAGCCTCCTAGAGGTGAGTGGTAAGGGTGGCAGTGCTTTATAGTAGAGGCAACTAAGGAAGCAGTAATAATTAGGAACAAACGTGAATATCCCAGGTTGTAGAATGAGTGTCTACAACATTGTGCAGCAGAGGTAGACTCCCTGCAGGAGATATACCAGGAAGTAGGCAAGTTGCTAAGTATGGATGGAAGCTCTGCAACTTCTGTGATTTGCTCCTCTACCAGTTTATGAAGTGGGAAAGCCCAATATCTGAACAGTTGCCAAAAAGTACTGTCAAGAGCAAACTTTCTTTCTTAATTTAGTTCCTCTCTATTGAAAGGAAATTTATTTTAATTCTTTTGTTTTCTGTCTCCTTCATAGCCTTTTTGGCCAATGGGAACAGGAATAGCTCGAGGATTTCTAGCTGCTATGGACTCAGCCTGGATGGTACGAAGTTGGTCTCTAGGAACAAGCCCCTTGGAGGTCCTGGCCGAGAGGTAATGGGAAATATCCAGGGATCCCTTCCACGAGAAAACTGGGAGTGATGAGTGGTTTGCTCCTCAGGCAGAGTACATGTTTTCTTTCTTCTCCCTCTCTCACTCTTTTTCTTAATTAAAGATGTTTTCATATTTAAGAGAAGAAAAGCAAGATATTGACTAATAAAATCATAGATATGTAAAGACTAATTTAAGTGCACTTCTTTTTTTTTCCAAATTAGTTACTGACAGATGGTATCTGAATTTTTGTATTCCATTAAAGAACAGTATCTGATTCATTTATGACAGTCACATGAACAAATATATAAGCATAGTACATTAAATCTTCCTGTCCTTAAAGTAGAAAGACTTACGCCAGTGAAATCAGTGTGGTAGCAGGGGACATACTAACATAAGAAAAGAAACAAGAAGTGACTTTAAATTCAAAAGAAAACCCCAAACTGCTTGTAAACATTTCTCAAGCTTTTAAATGTCAGATATGTTAAAGCAGATTATTGCAAAAAAGGTAAGAATCCTAGGATTTGTTTGCTAATAAAGAACAGATGCCTTGACTAGAAAACGAGAGAAATATAAGATTTCCTGGGTGTAATTGATGGTTGATAGCATTTTAAGCCTGTTACCTAAGGTACTCTGGGCAAGTTTGGTGGCAAATGCTTTTTTCATCTGTGTTTTTCTTAAAAATTAAATACTGGCCTACTTGAAAAAACAAAACAAAACAATAAATTAGTTGCCTTTTAAATTAGAATCAGGCTTTTTTAGCCCAGCCCACCACAGTGTACTTGCTCTTGCTACTGGTCCTTAAACAGTCCAGTGCCTGTGGAATCACTGGTGTGGTGGGATTTGGAGCAAGGGCTGATGTAGGTTTGGAGAAAAATGGTCAAGGGTGAGGATTTGTCATATCCTTCAGATTATTCAGGACACTGTCAAAAAATAGGAATATTATGAAAGGAGAGGGAGATGTGCATGGTGATTTTCACTGCTCTGACTAAATTGTTATATGTTCTTGCAGGGAAAGCATTTATAGGTTGCTGCCTCAGACCACCCCTGAGAATGTGAGTAAAAACTTCAGCCAATACAGTATCGACCCTGTCACCAGATATCCCAACATTAACATCAACTTCCTCCGCCCGAGCCAGGTAAGAGCCTTCTAGCCAGTTATCTACACCTGGGCCCATTTTCAGGATGGATCAGGCCTCTGAAACACTGAAATGTGTCTAATAATACCATATACACACACTTCTTTCATAATCCAAGTAGATGTCTCCCTGGAATGGTATCACTTTCCATCAACAGATTGAGCAGCTAAGGGAGGAAGTTGTTGAATGACTTGCCAGAAGAGCCCATGTGACCAAAATGGTGGATCCAGGACTTTTTCCAGGGCTTCCCCATTCAAGCTGCATGTTGTAGGGGAGAGAGCACTTGCTCACTGCTCAGAAAACGGGACTTCTTGCCACCAGTCACTTTGACATGGACATGTCATCCCGTCTTCTCTGAACCTTAGCTTCTTCATCGATAAAGTGGAGATAATAGTCCTGCTATTCACAGGACCATTGTGAGGGCAAATGAGATTGTTCACTTGAAGGAACTTTGAAAGTCAGGATGCTCTCTGCAAGTTAAAGATACCATTGGTCAGTTTTTTTGCGCTGCTGAGTTATTTCCCACGATGTCTAAAGCCTTATAATTGCATTAAGAATGACATTTGACAAAGCGCAATAATCCCGAAGAGCCCAACAATTTTTAGAAAGCAGCCCATTCAACATATTTGCCTATGTACTTGGGTAATTTTTTATTCACTTTCTGCAAGTTTCTGGCTTTAAGCCTTCTATATCCTTTATATAAGGGGCCCATGAGACCTGCTGTCAATGGGCAGTATTAATGGTCCAATAGTGACTATCAGAGGGCCCTCCTTGGCTGAGTAGCTAATTTTTAGCACAATTTTTTTTTACACTAATATGTATTTATTTGTATGTAACCCCACCACATACCAGAAAGGATTTAAAGGTCATTGTCTTTATCTGAACTTTGCCCAACCTGCTATCTTAGTCTTTCATTTTGCTCTCAGATGGGAACTTGTTGCATGGTGTTTGATTTTCCTTCTTAACTTTCTGCCAGGTGCGCCATTTATATGATACTGGGGAAACAAAAGATATTCGTCTGGAAATGGAGAACCTGGTGAATTCCCGAACTACCCCAAAGTTGACTCGCAATGGTGAGTTCTGGTAGCGACCTTTTAAATGCAAGTAACCTATTCAGAGAAATTCATACTTACTCATTGAGCTGTTAGTGCACACAGTACTGTAAGGCAGTGGTTCTCAACCAGGGTTGATTTTGCCCCAGGGGACATTTGGTAGTGTTTGCAGACATTTTTGATTGTCATGACTAGGGGAGGGTGCTGTTCGCATCCAAGGACACTGCTAAACCTACAGTGCACAAGTCAGCTCCCCACAACAAAGAATTGCCCAGCCAAAAATCTCAGGAATGTCAGGGCAAAACCCTCAGCCTAAGGTTTTAGGAGGGTATAAAGAGAAATCAGGTACAAATGCTGTTGAGAGAGAAAGAGAGAGAGAGGAAGTGAGTGCACACACACCAACTAAGGTTTCTAGGGGAAGCTTTAGGAAAAAGCAGTGGCATTTTTAGCTGAGCACTATGACATTGCCGGGATACAGTTATAGAGATAAAAGCCATTCTGTATTTTGTGTTCACTGAAGGACCCCTGTAGATTTTTTTAAGAGGAGAGCAACATGAATATACCTGGTCAGCTACATGTAAGATGGGATGGAGAAGGGAAATGCCAGACGCAGGGCCACTAGTTAGAAATACACTGTAGCAGTCAAGCTAGTGGTGGTGAAGGCCTGAATCTGATGCTGATGTTGAGGATGGACAAGGGAATGGAGCATAGTTAGAAGAACTCTGACTTTGGGGCCAGGTGCAACTGGGTCTGAGTCCAAGCTTTGCTATTTGTGAAGTGTGTGGGCTAGAAGAGGATATTTTGCATCTGTGAACTTTGGTTTCCTTGTCTGTAAAATGGGCATAAGAAATAGTTACTTCACACTGTGGTGACAAATGGCAGCCATTTTGTCATTGTCATTATTAATTATGTGAGTGAGAGTGTATTAAAGAGCCAGAATCAGTGGGCATCAGCAGTTTGGTTGCATGGGTCAAGAGATGGTTGCAGATGATGCTGCCATCAGCTTGGACAAGGAAGTGGGAGGATGAGAAGGTTTGGGTCTGTTTTGAGTTTGACATGTTATTGGATTGTCAAGGTGAATTTCACAACCAACAGGCAGTTGGAAACATTTTCATCTTTCTCCACTCGGGTGTCATCTACTTGAAAGCAGACAATATACCTTTGTCACTATCATTTTAGAGCCTGGAATATTGAAGTTGCCCAGTACATATTGGATTGATGGATGTACAGACTTGGGAGACATCTGAATAAAGTTAATTTCTGAAGTAAATTTTTGATTTATGATGATAACAGCAGGAGTGTTTCTCTGTATAATTTTAGAATACATTTTCACCAAAAGACTTAAATGAAATAGGATTTTTATGATATGCAGTTTTTATCTTATGTTCCCAAATCAGTAAATGACTTCATACAAGGTTAGACATTTCCAGCTGCCAAAGGTAAGAGAACAGACGTTCTTGGACACAAATGGGAGTTCACAGATTCTTCTAAATGCTCCATATCAGAGCTCCTCTGATGCAATTAAGAAAAACGGACTTTTAGAAAGGCCCTTTGTGTTCAAGAAGACACAGCAGCGAACTGGAAAACATCCAAGTATTGTGTTCACTTTTTTGTGTTGTTGATGTGTTCACTTTTTCAAGATGTGATCATTTATAATATAGAGTGCCAATCCTGGCCGGAAGGACCGTTCGGGTCTGGGGTCCTTGGCTTTGCCAGTGTAATCCTACAGTTTCTTCATTTGACAAATCGCTCTATACCCTGGAACATGTAAGAGTGGGCTTTGCTTGCTATTGGTTTAATGTGTTGCTAGAGAGAATGGACTCTTTTCTGCTCTACTCCTCTCAATATTACTTTGAAGGGAAGGAGATACCTCAGCTAGCTGCCAAGCTACTCTCCAGGGAAATCTTAGACCTTCTGCAAGTGAAGGTGACAGCTCAGTAGATGGCGCTCTTCCATCTAAGTCAGTATCCAAGAGTGCTGCCAGGACCCTGGGCTTTAGCATGAACAGATCCAGATCATCCCTCTTGTGACTTATGCTGTTAGGGGGGCTGGCATTGACATCAGAGTCTGGGTGAATTCTTACCTACCTAAAATTCCACTATCGTGATACCAGTTACATAGCTTTTTACTTTTGAAACAGTGACAACTATTTTGTTCCTACTTTTAGTAATTTTTCAAACTGGATATGTGTACTACAAAGAGGATCCTACATCAGTGCTACCAAGTGACCACACTTCTGATAATTTTTTTGTTGTTTTAGAGTCTGTAGCTCGTTCAAGCAAACTACTGGGTTGGTGCCAAAGGCAGACAGATGGCTATGCAGGGGTAAATGTGACAGATCTCACTATGTCTTGGAAAAGTGGACTGGCCTTATGTGCGATCATCCATAGATACCGCCCTGATCTGATGTAAGTTGTGACAAACTTTGTGTTTCATTTTGTATTCCCTCAGGACCTCAGAGTATTTTGCTGTTAGCCAAATTTTATATTTTTATCTAGAATGAGATACATAGCAAGATACTTTTTTCTAAAAGGCAGTGATTAATTTCAGTTTAGTTATATTTAAAACTTCTGTCAAGCATCATGTAGCTGAATCCAGCTGAGGTTTTAAAAATCACAGCACTCACAAGGTCAAAAACTGGTTTTAACACCCACCTGGGCCTATTAACATCACACAAAGGAAAACTATGTTTATTGGCCCCAGGTTGAACTCTTCATTTCGGCCAGCTATCTCTCAGATGCTGTTGGTCATAAGGAAAACCTCACTAGAACATTTGGCTGGCTGAAGGCAAAAATATGTCACTACCAGCAAAACAGAAAACAGTGAATACTTAACCCGATTTATCATAGTTCATTGGTATTATCTCTGTTAAGAATTGCGCCTTTTGCAAATATACTCTGCCCAGGCCCACAAGATTCAGGCCACTTTACCCACTTATATCAGTGACACCTTCTCTTTTGGCCATTCTTCACTCACCTAAATGCAGAATCACTACAATAGGATGACCCCAGGTCAACTACAGTGACCAATGCACTCAGATTTCCCCCATAGGCATTCATTACCATGGAAGCCAAACAAGAAGATCCAGAAACAGAAGAAAAGCCTGTTGAATTATTTTGGCTGCCTGTCTTTTTATCATTAGGGCCCAGATTTGTGCGTTTGCTTTAATGATTGCTTAAGGGAACCTAAGAAACATAGTTCCTATTTATATTAGGTTATAAATTAATGAGGCAAGAGCTACTAGAAACAGCCCTACATATAGTATGCTTTAGGAATGGGAATTTCTGATTTGTTTGGATAAAGTAAGTGACCTCCAGTGCTTCTGTCCCTTAGCTAATGCAGAGGTTGGCAAATGGTAAGTGAAAGTAAGCCCCCCTCCCCCCCATCAAGAAAGGACGGGAGAGGAAGAGGGAGTAGTTTCAGAAGGATGGTGATGAATGGCACAGAGTGCTTTAGAAGAAGACTGGGTGAGTCTGTTCTCTTCCAAAGGGAAGTCAGGAAAGAAAAGGAGATGGAGGCAAAAGTAGCTGAAGGGAACCTAGCAGGTGAGGTTGGGGGGTGGTAAAGGGAGAAGGCTGCCTGCAGAAGGTCTAGGGAAGTTCTGTGTAACAGAACACAAAGCAGTGAGTAGGTGATTTGGCACTGTTTAGACTACACTGACTTCATTCAGGATGAGGCCTTCCTGGTTTAATAGGCTTAATCTATAGAGAAAAGGCATTTAGAAAAATGAAAACCTTGGTACAGAGTCAGTAGTAGGTTAACACAAAATAAGGCCTGCCCTGTTGATCTGCAATCACTTCTTAAAGAAGAATACTATCAGTCTTTACTTGATCGAATGGCAAGAAGTTTGAGACCCAGTGGGAAGTGTTTGTTAATTTAAATACTTGGGAATACTCAGGAAGTTTAGCAGTGGAAAAATCTTTTGAGGAAGGTTTTGGAATTTCCCTTCAAGTAGAAGGCTGAATAAGATTACCAGAGCTGATGTAGTGCATCAACAGCACGTCTGGTCCAAATGACACAGCGAGTGATAGTCCTAGGCCTTTAGAAGCAGTCTGATCCAAATTGGATATTTATCATTACTGAGCATTAGTTTAATATGTACAGGTCACATACAAGGTACAAGAGGATATGTAGTAAAGATAGTTCTATTCTTGAGCTTACCTTTTAGTAAGAAATTTATGTTATTGGGAAAATGAGAGTAGTTCAACTTTCCCCCCCTTTTTTCCTTCCTGAGTAGATCTTTAATCATTTCTTCTCCTTGAAGATGATTTGCATTTTCTTAGTGAAAGGGAGGAGACCAAAAGGTGAGATGAACAGGTTGGCTGTCAGATTGCGGTGATACCCCCGCACCCTGGATTGTAGCTGAAAGACTAAGAAATGATGACGACTCCACTGATACTGTGTTTTCTGGCTTGAGGACAAGCAGCCCTTGTTGATATGTTTTTCTCATTCTGTTTCTTAGAGATTTTGATTCTTTGGATGAGCAAAATGTGGAGAAGAATAACCAACTGGCCTTTGATATTGCCGAGAAGGAGCTGGGCATTTCTCCCATCATGACAGGCAAAGAAATGGCCTCGGTGGGGGAGCCTGACAAGCTTTCTATGGTGATGTACCTGACTCAGTTCTACGAGATGTTCAAGGACTCACTCCCCTCCAGTGGTAAGGGCTGGTGGGCACTGCTGTGGAAGGCCACCATTTCTTCTTTGTTGTTGCCTGGCTTTTCTTTCTTCTAACCATGTCCTTCATCAGTACCACCAAAAGCAAACCTGCGCTTACTCTCTGTTGGCTGTCTGGGTAAGGCCCTAGCACTTTGCTCCATTATTTTTTCCTTCTCTACTAGTATATTCTTAGCCATTCTTTCTTTCCCCAGACTTTCTCACTGAATCTATAAATATGCAAAAATCATTCCTTTGCAAAATGTTTGCCTTGACTCTACTACTTTCTCATACCCTTTCTCTCAGAACCAGGCTTCTTGAAAAGTAGTTAGTACTCACTAGGACCTCTACCTTCTTTTTTTTTTTTTTTTTAAAGATTTTATTTATTTATTTGACACCGAGAGAGCGCACACAAGCACAAGCAGGGGAAGCAGGAAAGGGAGAAGCAGGCTTCCCATCAAGCAGGGACCCCGACGCGGGGCTTGATCCCAGGACCCTGGGATCATGACCTGAGCTGAAGTCAGCCGTTTAACGGACTGAGCACCTGGGCGCCCCAAAGAGCCATCATTTCTTAAAATATTAACTGGAGTTTCAGTTAAGAAAAAAGTGGCAGTAGAGTGTGGAGGGAGTGTGGAGTTCCTTGGTCACATACATTAGAAAAATGCTACCTTATATTGTTCCCCCTTAGAGAATCACAGTGTACCTTAACAAGCTAAAGGCTCTGAAAGATCCTGAAGTAGTTAAGCTCACATAATTTTCTGTAACTGGACATTTCCCAAACTTACTCGGTCATTAGACTATTTCTCCAAGTAACAATAGCATCACAAAGAACTCCTCCTCTGTGAAACTTTTTTTTTTTTTTACAACATAGTGATTTGATAAGTTTTTATATTATTATTATTATTATTATGTTAATCACCATACATTACACCATTAGTTTTTGATGTAGTGTTCCATGATTCATTGTTTGTGCATAACACCCAGTGCTCCACGCAGAATGTGCCCTCTTTAATACCCACCACCAGGCTAACCCATCCCCCCACCCCCTCCCCTCTAGAACCCTCAGTTTGTTTTTCAGAGTCCATCCTCTCTCATGGTTCGTCTCCCCCTCCGATTTCCCCCCCTTCATTCTTCCCCTCCTGCTATCTTCTTCTTTTTCTTTTTTTTTAAACATATAATGTGTTATTTGTTTCAGGGGTACAGGTCTGTGATTTAACAGTCTTGAACAATTCACAGCGCTCACCATAGCACACACCCTCCCCAGTGTCCGTCACCAGCCACCCCCTCCCTCCCACCCCTCCCCCACTCCACCAAAACCCCCCCTTATTCCTGAGATTTAAAAAACCTCCTGTCAGTGAGGACCTCTACCTTCTAAGGCATAAACTTTGTAACACTTTGCAACCCAGCTTCTTTTTTACTGCTCTGCCAAAACTGTTCTCTACAGTCATGAAGAATCACCAAATCTGCATTTCTTTTCTCGTTTTGCACCACTCACCCACTTGGCTTTTCTGCATTATTCAGCACTATGGAATTGTGTCCTTTCCCTTGAAATTCCCTCTTCTCACTGGCCTCTCTGGTCCTGTACTTGTTTGCTTCATTCTCTTTCTTCTGTAACTGCTCCTTCTCTGGCTTCTCTCTCTTCTCCAACCTTTTAGTGTTTTTCCGTCTTTGTTTGGCCCTCAGCCTGCTGCCTCAGTCTACCAGAATGCTACCAAAAAAATATTCCTGTTGTCATTTATTGTCCCTGGAGTGAGTATGCTTTAGAGTGTTGACCATGGTACCCAACCTGGATTTATTTCCCAGTAGTTCCACCTGTTTGAGCTTAGGCAAGTTACTAAATTTCCCTGTGCCTCAGTTTCCTCATTCGTAAAATGGTACATATTTTATGTACATATAACATAAACCTGTGATGTGCTAAGGAGAATGTTTGACAAACAGAAGCATTTAATATCAGCAGTATAGTATTAGTTTCAGTTACTTTTAAAATTACTATTGTTACTAATAAAATTTTGGAATCCACAGAGTTTGTGGTTCTCCAGTATCTTCTAGCCTATGTACTCTTATAGATGTCCATGGCTTTTTCTGACCAGATATGCAGTTCTTACAAGAGGAATCCACAACTCTAACATCAGTATACCTATTCAGGGAGAGCCTTCCCATTATGTGCACCTAAGTACATGGGGTCTGCATAATCAAAGGCAATGACCCTAAGCTATATACCCTTCCTCCCTTTCTCCCTCTACCTTGAAATTTTTATCACGAAGGTGAGGCTTTAGCAGTCTGTCATAACTAACAATCATAGGCAGATTCCAACTTTTGAAAAGGAAAAGTGGAGGGTTTTGTGACCGAAGTGGATTAGAAGAAAGAGTTGGTTCTGTTAACATGGATGGAAAAGAGAAAGGTCAACATCCAGACCATAGTGTACATTTCCGTGGTGGAATTTCCTGCTGAGTTCCTCTTGCTTTTGTCAAAGCAGATGGACCTTTAGAGTTTTCTGAGGTTCTGTGAGCCTCCTGCAAGGAGTGTAGTTCTGGTCAGTACTTTGAAGCCCCCTCCAGGGCTGTGCTCAACATTGCTTCCTGTTCACAGAGGCCCTGGACCTGAATGCTGAGGAGAAAGCAGTTCTTATAGCCAGCACCAAATCCCCCATCTCCTTCCTCAGCAAACTTGGACAGACCATCTCTCGGAAGCGTTCTCCCAAGGTGAATGGAAGAGGTTTGGGGGGCACCTGGGTGGCTCAGTCGGTTACGCGTCCGCCTTCGGCTCGGGTCATGGTCCTGGGGTCCTGGGGTCGAGCCCCGCCTCGGGCTCCCTGCTCCGCGGGAGCTTCTCCCTCTCCCTCTCCCCTGCTTGTGCGCGCGCTCTCTCTCTCTCTGTCAAATAAATACATAAATAAAACCTTAAAAAAAAACGGAAGAGGTTTTTGGCCTGCTACGAACCTAAAGGCGAGGCACGGCGACGAGGATGACAGTCGCCCTCACCCCTTGGCACAGGACAAGAAGGAGAAGGACCCGGACGGCGCGGGAAAGAGGAGAAAGACCAGCCAGTCGGAAGAGGTGAGTGTTGCCGGGGTTCGCTGGGGGGTCCCACTGAATTGCCCTTCCGGGCTGAAGGCCACCTCCGAACTGGTGTTGCTGGATCTTTTCATATTCATTTTTATGAGAATTTCTGTGGGCAGCTGCTTTTTCAGTGGGCTGTTGCTTTTGTTCGGTGTTTCGGGGAGCGTCTAAGGAGCATACACACACGCGCACTAGTGCTTTCCTCTCCCCTCAGAAGTGCACGTTTGGCCGGGGGCGGTGGCTTCCCTGAGAGAGGACAACACCAGCCCAAGCCCGAGTACCTTGTTATACTGCCCCATGCACCAAAGCCTTGCTGACTGCACGTCGATATTAGAACCTTGAAGAGAGCTGTTAAGCTTAACCTAAAGCAGAAATAGCAGCCACCATGCCAGGCACTGGCTTCACTCCTTCTTTGAGGGAAGGGCATTTGTAGGGGGCTCCTCTAACCAACGCTGGTTCTCGGGTGTTGATGTTTGTCAGGAGGACGTGCCCCGGGGCTACAGAGGAGGAAGGCCCACACTGGTGAGCACTCTGACAGACAGGAGAATGGATGTGGCCCTTGGCAATCAGAACAAAGTGAAGTACATGGCGACCCAGCTGCTGGCCAAATTTGAAGAGAATGCACCCCCACAGTCCACTGGCATGAGGAGACAGGTAAACCCCACTTTGTATCTCACCCATCCACGCTTGGTCTGGCCATATAGGAAGGAGGGGTCTTCCCAGTCAAATGAAGTGGGATGGGGTGTGTCTCAGCTGAGCACTCATGCGCTCAAGACTATGTCTGGTTTTCTCTTTGTCTGACTGTGGCAGAGAAAAGCATTTTATAAGCTCCTCCTATGTTTTCAGCACTGCTTTCTCCTTACCATTCATGTCTGAGGTGTCTGTGGCAAAAATTCAGAAGAGGGATTTAAAGTTTTATATATATATCTATACATATTTATATGCTCCCATATGTGCAGACATATTTGAATTATAGAAGAGGTAGATACGTATTGAGGAAAATCCTGGAGAAAATAATAAAGGTAATCAAGACACCTCTAATTCTGTTAACATTTTGTTATATTTCTTTCTAGTCTGTTTTCAGTGCATTTTTGTTTTCATAGTTGAGGTCATTCGGAATATACACTTTCTGTTCTGCTTTGTTCACGTAACTTTGGGCATATTCCCATGTTGTTCCAAACTCTACAAGCATCTTCCAATATGTGTATGTACCATGCTTTTCTTCACTCTTCCTCTAGTGTTGGATGTTTTTGTTGTTGCTCATCTTTCATGACAAAGTACAAAGATAATAAATGTTCTTGTGATAAATCTTCTTTGTGTGTTGTGGATGGTTTTCATAGGCTATCCTCGAACTAGGTCAGGAGGTATGAACATTTTAAAGAGTCGTCATGGATACTAACTTGAGAGTGCTAGACAGGAGCATTTGACTTGAGATGTCTTTGCTGGGTCTCGTCCCTCCTCTTGCTTGTAAGAGGAGGGGCTGGATTTGGAGATTAACACAGGAAGTTTCTTATAAAACTCCCTAATGACCTGAGAGAACATCCAAAGGAAAGGAAGGCCATTCTTTTTATTCTTTTACTCTCTTTCTTCAACTTTTCCATACATATCAGCCATTGTTCTGAGGACCAGGGGTGGGGGGGTGGGGTGGTAATGACTTTGCTTGGAATCTGGCCATAATTAACTTCTTCTCACATTTAGCCTTTGGTTATTCATTTTTACACTCCAATCAGATGTATTGTGGCTCATAGAGAGGAATAATAATATTCATTGGTAGACATCTGAGGTTGCCCGGCAGCTCTAGCAACCACGGGATCTGCCCCATCTCAGGAGATCTGGAATGCTCTCCATGGGAGGAAGTTTGCCCCTAAGGGAAGGTTGTGTTCGTCATTTTGAGTAGAAAGATTAGTTTTCCAAACTAGAATTAGTAGTTTAGGTTCAGAGCTTTGAGCTAGGGAAGAGGAGAGTGAAAATTACAGCCTCTGATTTCCTCGTTTTTTCCTTTCGCATTTACTTTTGGTTTGTGGGGTTGGGGTATTTTGTTTCCTTTGTAAGTGTAACTTTCTAAGAATTAATTCTGTGTCTGCCCCCATTCCCCGCTCCTAGATGCGTGTCTGTCCACCGTGAGTATCGTTTTTGTGTCTTCTCCTACTTTAATGTATTTTATTTTGTTTTGTCTCCATGTCCTGTCCCCCACCCATACTTGGCCTGTGTGTCACAGCCGACACAAGAGCGTGGGGTCAGCCAGCCGTCCTGCTGCCTTCCTGAGCAGGGTCACCCTGCTCCCACCCCCCAGTGGAAACAGGTAAAGGAGCTGCCCAGGGACCAGAATGGGTACTGCTTCCCTGGGCCTTCCCACCCTACTCATCCCTCTGCTCCAGCCAGGGCTGAGGCCTACACTTTAGAATCCTAGCTCCCAAGGCCAGGAAGATTCTGTACTCATTTGAGTAGCAGCTCTAGGGAAAAGTTTAACAGACAGTCCTGATTGTATTGCATGATTTGTTTAACTCCTTGGGATTTGAGAAATCAGTTAAAAGAGTAGGTGGTTAATGTGGTTTTGAAACTAGCTGAAGCTCTGTGGGAAGTTGTTCCAGATACCTTAGCTTCTCCAGTTTTACCACCATAGCCTTTGTCCCAAGTTGACTTTTTTGCTTACATGTGTCCTTGTAACTAGTAGAGGGAGAATCCTGAACTCAGCAAGGCTGAGAATTGGGGCATTGGAGCATTTCACATTAAATAGGAAAATGTTAGCCAGGAAATATCTTGAACTGTGATTTTTATTTGTTTCAGACCCTTGACAAAGATGAGCATGGGCATTTTCTTGGCGTTTTGTCTCCATTTAAAATACTCCTTGAAAATTTTCAGTAGTTTTTACAGGATCTCCTAGAAAGCTGCTTCTAAGCAGTATTGGATAGGACAGAAAGAAGTGGGTGGAGGGATGGCACCTCATTGATAATAGGAAACCCATCAGAAGGATTGGGGCCTCTACTGTATTTTTTCCCAAGTCACACTTGAGCAAGTTCCTCCTCTGTGAGTGCAGCCTGGATTCTCTGTCTTGTGGTTTGGTATCATCTAGGACTAAGATTCTGAGAGGTCAGGTGAGCTGACCCTCGATTTCTTCTTGTGCTGTCGAGCGCCAGCTAGTGCTACGAGGTGCTGGGGAGTGGCAAGTGGATTTTATTTGAATTACATTCAGGGCAAAAGCTTCCTCTTTAACCTCTTTTAAATTAAATAATATGCCACATTGAAGGCAGGGCCCATGAGGCTGAGATGGAAGCCGGGGAGCAATGTCCAAACTCACAACAGAAGCCAAGCTGCTGCTTTCTCTGTTTTTGGAGGAGGTCTTCTGGAAAACAAACAAACAAGACTCATTGGAAAATCCATTTTATTTCCTTACCCTTTGCCTTGAAGTCTAGGTGGAGTGTATGATTTGAAAGGTAATTTTTAGTTGAGGATCTGCTGAAGGAGAAAATGAACTCTAAACTAGATTCCCCCAAACTAGACTCTGACAATGTTCAACAAAGTCACCTGAGATAGGAGGAGCAGTGGGGAAGGGATATCAGTTGTAATACGTGTAGTGGATGAACAGATGACTTTAACTGTCATGTGCCCAGAGCAGCTTTGGGTTGGCTTGCTGGGAAGTCTCAAGGGTAGTAAGTGTGACCCGAAGAGCCTGGCTCGGCCAAGCCTCTGTTCTGGTGAAGACTGGCATATTAGCTCATCACCTGATGGATCATCAGGAGCTTGGTGTTTGTGGGCCTGCTTGTGTTTCCCCTGTTTATGAAGTATCTGGCCTCTGACCTTGTGCGGGGTGCTACATGGAGACATAACAGCTAAGTTGTCTTCTGGGTAATTTATGATCACAGTCAATGAAGTAGAATATAGGTAGGGTCTATAGGCAGCAGTCAAACCTGGGTTCTGTGGAGTGGGCACCAGAGATTACAGTTGGAAAGAATATCTGGGTAGATCTTAGTGAAAAACCATGAGCAATGAAAATCCTATTAGATCATTGCTATATAGAGTTGGGAATTGTAAATTTACTTGGCTGTCAAACAACTGTAAGTCACAGTTAACGTGTAATTTTTCCTCAACACTAAATCAAAGATGGTATCATGAGTCTTGGCCCTGTAAATTTATCTCCTGAGAGAACAGGAACATTCTGGTGCTCCAGAAACATGGGAACAGAGGCACTTCAGTGGTGTACTCCAGTGGCCCTCTGCTTCTGACATCCTGACGATGGCTTTCGTTAGCTCCCTTTAGGAATGAGAGGGGGCTTACCAGTGATACCTTGCCGTGACTCACTTTTTGTTTTTCTTGAAGAGGTTTGGATTGAGGCAGGAGGGTGTGGCAGGCACAGCAATCAATGGTGGCTGAGTTGGCGCAAGGATCGGTTTTAATTTAGGTCATGGTATGGAAGAGGGAAAATGAATAACAACTTTGCTTACCAGTGACTTCTCTTTTTTACCTTCCTGTGTAAACACTTTGGCTCTTCCCTCCCCACCCTTCTGCCTTTTGATCTCAGAAATGTGTCCGGCAGGCAAAGTCTGCACATTAATCAGCCTTGGTTTGGAAGTAAATTGTCATGAGAGGTTGGAACACAGGGGGTCTGTATCCCGTGGCCTCACAACCTCCACAGCTTTTTCTCCCTCCCAGGCTTCATCTGTGTGCTGCCCCACATGGTCATTTGGGGCATGAGGAAATGGAGGATTCCTCTGGCCTAGAAACAAGTAATTGTTTCTTAAGTACTGAAAAGTTCTCTAAATCACAGATTCACAGGAAGGGAATACAATACAACAGAGAGGGGCAAAATGGGGAAATAATCCATGAATATTTATGGTGTTCGGTTAGTGACAGATGTACTTATATTCTTATATTCTGTTTCCTGTACTTCCTTGTATTTCCCTGGTGGTTTTCCAGAACCTTTTAAGTGCGCTCGAGGGGCTGAGAGGGAGGCCATGGCAGGGTGTTGTCTTGGGCGGGCCCTCAAGGAGAGTGCCACTTTGCTGCTGGTGGGTGTACAGGTGACTGAGCGCTCGGGAGGTGGTCACCACATTCCCCTCATGATGGTTGGCCTATGTGCCCTTTCTCTCTACCTACATCCTAGCTCATTTCTTCTATCCTTAACTTCCCTGATAAAACCAACAAAGGATATATCCTTGATCCCTGGCATTTAGAAAGTGTTACACTGCAAGTTCTGCCCCAAGACCAGCTACAGATACTACCCATGTGGTCTGCACTTACCAGATAGCACGAGCACGAGTATGGCCTGGAAGCCAGCCGCCAATTGTGACAAGCTGTCCTCCCTGACCATACAGCCATTGCTGTGGAGGATGGAGAGGCACGGGAGGGATGGCTTTGGTGAATGCTGGTTAATTCTTCCAGATCCAGCGTAAACATGGCCCCTGTTTCACCAATGTTCTCTCTGTTTGTGTCTGTTGGCGTAAAAGCGACGGGAAAAGGAGCATTCTCGGACCTGCCCCAAAAAAGTGATCACACTCTCTCCTCCCCCTACTCCACCTCCCTGTCGGGCGCCTGGCAGCCAGCAGGTGATCTTCTCTGCATGCTCTGTGGTCCTTGTCTCTGTCTTCCTGCCTGCCTGCGTAGGTGGCTGGGGTAGAGACCAAATCAGGATTCCCTCTTTTCAGAGCTAACAATTA